TATTTTGTATTGCGGGTGTTATGTCAAATCTCAATTCGCTCAAAAGTTTACATGTATTTAGTTTTTGCTTTTGATGGGTGTGCTGTCAAATCAGTAAAAGCAAAAACAAAATACATGTAAGGCGAAGAATCAGCTGATTTTACAGCACCACCTTGTGTAAATTCGCCTTGACAGGCAGCGTAAAAAACATAAAATTGAAGTGAAGAGAAGCGATTTCAAACGAATTGTAATCGATAGCTTATTCAAAAACACATTTAAAGTTAATTTTAACAAAGTATTTACTCAAGACTTTATGTCGAAAAAGCCACAAAACCTGATTTTTCACAGGGGCCAATTTTTGCGAAATTTTCACTTAAACTTGCTATATCTCAGACGTTTATGTATCGATTGATTTGAAATTTGTACACAATAAACTAGATACTATGGTTTTTGTTAAAATATGAAAAGTATTTTCGTGAAAAATTAACGTAAAATTTATTATTTAAAACATTGCGAATATTGTAAGACCCCGCTCGTGGGTGTCGCCATAATATTGTTATAACTTTAGAACTACTTGTTGTCTAATCATGAAACTTTCCCAAAAATTCAGTTTAAGTGAAAATTTCGCAAAAATTGGTCGCTGTGAAAAATCAGCTTTTGTGGCTTTTTCGACATAAAGGCCTGAGTAAAAACTTGGTTAAAATTAACTTTAAATGTATTTTTGAATAAGCTATCGATTACAATTCTTTTGAAATCGCTTCTCTTCACTGTTGTTTTCGCTGCTTGTTGTTCTCGCTGTTGCTGTCACCCAAACTTTGCGCTTTGCGAGAAGAATAACGGACCTGCGCATTGCGCAACCTCTTATATATAAGCCATGCCCTGGGACCATACGAGCAGAGAGAGGCAATTTTTATTTCGCGCATTGCGCGACCTTCTATGTATAGATCTTGAAAAGCTGGTACACGGTCACATTTTGCGCCATTTTTTCAACAATTTCTGTTTGAAAATACGCAGCATGTTCAAATGCCAAAGTTGTAGAGATTTTCCTTCTCCACAACTTTTGTAAGAATTTTTTTGTGCGACGCGTAGATCACGGCCGGGAACGTGATGAACGGTGTAATATTACCATTGTATAGGCTTACAAGTATGCAAGGCGCCATTTTGTTTGTTTACATTTGAAAACAGCTGAGATCACCTCATTTTCAATTCTCTCATGCTCCGCGCAGAGTTACATTCAAGTTTCAGAAAAAACTTTAAAATGTAAATTGAGAAATATTTTAGAAAAATGTGTTTTTATTCATTTGAATTCAATAAAAAAGAAATTAAAAATGCGTGCCAAGTCTTGCATTTCCAATAATAACGGTAAAATGCCGTCGAAAACATGTTTTCGTTGCTGAAACTGGTTTTCGACATAAAACCAAAGAACGTAGATAACAAGAAGGGACAACTCGTTATAATTGTGGCGAAAGGGCGCAACAGGGGCGGGCCTTCTCTTTTTATCCAATCAAAAAATGCACTAAGGCAAAAGAGAAGGCACGCCCCTGTTGCGCACTTTCGCTACAATTATAACGAGTTGTCCCTTCTTGTTATCTACGTTCTTTGATAAAACTCATGTTTTCGCCCGTGTAAAATCTATCAAACGAAAACTAGTTTTCGCTGAAAACTGCTTGAAAACTCACGTTCCACTCATTCCAATCGGTGTCTTCACTAGTTTATTAGATATATTTATCGAAATGGAAGTCATATTTTATCGCTCTAATATGCTAGTTGGGATTTATTGCTAATTGGCTGGCCAAATTAAAATGTGAACAAAAGATAAAGGTTGCTAATAATAAGAAAATGAAAAAATATATATTTTGGTTTTGTTTTTTCGTAACAAAACTGTTAACAACGGATGAAAGAAATGTCAACGAAAACACTAACAGCCGGTGCGAACAGCTTACAGCCCACAATCACAAAACGCGTTTTCAAAGTGTTTTCGTTGTCGGTCCGAACATGGTTAAATGGGACTATTTTTCCTGAATTTTTCAACTCAAAAGCTTTAAAAATACCGTCACATTTATTTCGGCATTTCTCGTTCTCGAGATATTTAATTTGGCTTTTTTTCAAAGATAGAACAGTGCCGCATTACATTTGCTGTGTTTCCTTCGGCAATGATCGGGATCCAGATAAAAAATTTGCACGCAAATGCAACATCGATATGATTCTGATGGAGCGCTGGTTCAATTTATGATCCACTGTGTTTGTTTTGTTTCACTGATAATTTGCTGCGCGGTTTGGTAGCACTGACAAAGAGATATTCTGCCATTTGTTTCTCTTAACTTGATTCAAATACATAAATCGCCTTTATGTTAAATATTTATTTAATTGAATACTATTTCGTTTGAATGTATTTTTCTGCATTTAGTGAGTTCAATTTTATAATTTCGTCTAGTAGTATAAAATTAGGGCTGCCAATGAATGATCCATATGGTTTTCGTGAGAAATGATCGTGATACCAAAGAACGTAGATAACAAGAAGGGACAACTCGTTATAATTGTGGCGAAAGGGCGCAACAGGGGCGTGCCTTCTCTTTTCATCCAATCAAAAAATGCACTAGGGCAAAAGAGAAGGCACGCCCCTGTTGCGCACTTTCGCTACAATTATAACGAGTTGTCCCTTCTTGTTATCTACGTTCTTTGGTGATACTGAGCTGGATAACCCAAGGAAACACAACTATAGGCTTTGGCGTCTTCTCGTGGTTTTCTCCATGAACCAATGGGCTATTTCACACTAGAATGACAGAACAATTATTCTCACGGTTTCACACTGGATGAAAATTAGCAGAATAAAGTGAGTATACGTACAGGACGTTTGAATGTATTTGTAACTTCTGCGCTTGAAAGCTGCGTAGCGGCATTTTCGTAGTTGCGTATGTGTTAGTGCGCTGCAGCAACACTACCACTTTAATGCGGGGTAGAAGCTGGAACAACTTTTTGAGAAACTTTACCTCACCGCACTGCCTCTCTTGCCAACAAACAGAGTTGTTCTGGTGGCAGAAATGTTCCAGTGTGAAACCCACCAATTAGAACAGATCTGACCGGTTGAGAAGCAGCCATTTGTAATAGCAATTGAGAAAAAAGTGGGTGACGTTCGTAATTTTGAAGTTTTCTATTTCTGTTTTGCTTCTTTCTTTATGTGTATTTGGTCGGTGGTTAAGTTCAGTGATTTTTAAGCGATTTTCAATAAGTTTTTTGTGCAAATGTAATTAAAATGAAGTGTGCGGTGATTGGATGCAAACGTACAAAAATAATAAATTGGTTAGCACAAACTAGAACTGTCAAACTATCGACAGTGGTGTTACAAATGGATAAACAGTGTTCGAGACTTGATTATTGACTTTGCGTTGAATTTAATTCCTTAAAAGCTTTGCACTTTTTGTCAAATTATTTTAATAATAATAATAGATTGGCGCTTACACATATGTTAGTGTTTGGCCGTGCTTCTCGTCCGATTTGTGGTGTGCGCCTTGATATTGGTCGCGTTCATAAGACGTAGCTGTTTAGCTCATCTGCTACGAAACTGCTGGCAACTGTTGAACACAACAATTACGTCTTAGAAACGGCTTGATGAATATGCTGCCAAATGAACAGCTGATAAATGTAAACAAATGAAATTGCAACAAATAGAGATAGTTGCGCCGATACTATTTAGAATTCAACACTGAGCGGCCGGCGTGTTGAAAAAATCGTTCAATGTTACAATGAATTAAACAGTGTAAAATTATATAGCAAACATCTTAAAAACATATCTTTAGAAACGTAGTATTATTATAAAATATTTTAGTTACTTTATCACGTCAGTAATATAAAATATAATAAATTTGTTTGCAACTGCCACCTAACAAAGCGGCGTTAAATTTAATATAAGTGGCGTAAGTCTTTTCAAACAGCTGTTTAGGCTAAGCCCAACACGTTGAGTTCAGGTAGCGTAAAAATTTTCCGCTGGAAAAAATGGCGGGTAGTTGCCAACTGTTGGGCTGAGCGTAACTACTCAACTGTGCGTTTCTAAGACAAACAGCCAACGGTTACCCAACAGCTACGACTTATGAACGCGCCTATTGCCTGCCGAGGGACGACCGCTGTTAAGAAAAAACCTTTATCTATATTTTTTGCGATGTTGCTTTGACCAGGGTTTGAACCCAGGTGCTGATGAGTGAAAGCGCGCACTGCTTACCACTACACCACAGCGGCCGACGCCAAATTATTTTACTGATTGAAAAATTATGAGTTTAATTTCTTTTGCAATTTAATAAACATATCTTTGTAAATCTTCATTATTCATTAAATAATTACGATTTACTACATTGGCGACGAGTTTAGTTTAGAAAACACGCATTCAGCAAAATTGATCACTCACAATTCAAGGTATTGTTCGAGGCATTGCAAGTACAAAATCAACAGATTTTGAAGCAACACCAAGAAGAAAAGAATTTGATGCAACAGCATATCCAACAACAGCAGAATCTGATTGAGCGCATTCTTCAAGGTCAACCGGCACAGATTGCAGATCAAGCCGTTCTTGCTCAAGATTCAACAGCATTTAAAGTTAAATGTTTGGCCGATTCTATGGTCAATTTTGAATATGACCCAGACAACAATCAAACGTTTGAGGCTTATTATGAACGCTATGAGTCGGTTTTTACAAATGAAGCAGAGGGTCTGGATGAACCAACAAAAGTTTATCTTCTTTTCCAAAAATTCAATCAGGAACAGTATCAACGTTATGCCGATTCAATTTTACCTCTTAAACCACAAGATTGTACATTTGAGAATACTGTGACAATACTTAAGAAACTTTTCGGTTATAAAAAAACAAAGTTCGCAATGCGTCATAGGTGCTTTAACCACGCAAAGTTCGACTATGAGGATTTTAGCATGTATGCCGCTCGTATAAATAAGCACGCCGAGAAGTTTGACATTTCTCATTGTACTGCGGATGACTTTAAAGTTTTGTTATTTGTGAGTGGGTTAAAAGACGTCAAGGACTCGCTTATCCTGGAAAAGCTTCTAACGAAAGTTGACAATCAGTATTTAGAGTTGGAGAGGGTAACAGATGCGGCCGCACGTGCAGACGTTCACAAGCTGAATTTTCGGGATTTGATCAACGAAGCCGAGCGTATAATTTGCTGCTCAAGAAGTTCATTCTGTTCAACAAAATAAAAACTCAAAGTCATCAGTCAACAAAGACAAGTCAACGGTTCGGAACCAAAGCAACGACACTCCTCGCTTGGCCTGTTTTCGTTGCGGCGAAATACATTGGATTGATAATTGTCCATGCAAGGACAAGCAGTGTGGCGAATGTAATGAAAAAGGGCATAAGACGGGTTTCTGTGCTTTTATGAAAAATTTCAATGGATATAAATCATCCAGCAAGAAAAACCCCAGTTCGAATCAAGTTGAAGCTACGGTTCACGCAATCTCTAACCGAAAGTATATCAATCCAGTTGTCAACGGAACTGTAATCAAATTGCAGGTTGATACTGCTTCCGATATAACAATCATATCAAAATCAAATTGGATTTTAATCGGACAACCATTGCTGTCATCAGAAATACGCACCAATGCCACAAGCGCATCAGGTACTGCTATTCCAATTTTGGGTGTCTTCAATTGTGGCATTAAACTAAATGGGGAGGAAAAACGCGAAATTTGCTACGTTACATCACTTGATTTTAATCTTTTTGGCATACCTTGGATTAATTCTTTCGATCTTTGGAGTGTTCCCTTTGATTCTGTTTGCAAACATATAAAATAAACTGGTGATGACTTGGCCATCGAAGTTTGCGAGAAATTTCCGAAGCTTTTTTCCGAGGGACTTGGCTGTTTCAACAAAGGACAAGTTTCTCTGAAGCTCAAGCCTGGAGCCCATCCAATATTTCGGAATGCTCGACCAGTTCCGCAAGCAGCTCGCGAACCCATTTCAATTGAACTGGAACGTCTTCAACATCTTGGTATTATCAGTCCGACATCCGATCGAATTTTCGCTAAGTTTGCAGGAAAGACAATATTCAGTACCATATATTTGTCAGACGCTTTTTTTCAAGTCGAAGTTGATGATGATTCCAAGGAAATTGTGGCAATCAACACTCACGTTGGAATGTTTAAAGTAAATCGCCTTCAGCAAGGAGTCAAAGCAGCGCCTGCGGAATTCCAAGCCATAGTTGAAAAAATGCTCAGTGGAACCTCAACATTTGGTTTTATCGATGACATGGTCACAGCAGGAGAGAACCTTGAAGATCACAAACAGCAGCTCTTCAAGACTCTTGAACAGCTTCAAATTTATGGTTTTCAACTAAATATTAGCAAGTGTTGTTTTGGCAAGTCGTCCGTTAACTTTTGCGGCCATATCATCGATGAAAAAGGCATCCGACCAAATCCTGAAAAAATTTGGGAAGTTCAATCAGCTCCTCAACCTAAAGATGTTAGCCAATTGCGATCATTCCTTGGTTCAGTGAACTACTACGGCAAGTTTATCGAGTCAATGAAGCAGTTGAGAGGTCCATTGGATGACTTATTGAAGAAAGAAGCAAAATTTGAATGGCAAAGCATTCATCAAGAAGCATTCGATCAACTGAGGAAGATTTTGTCATCAGATTTAGTTCTTACGCACTTCGACCCGAGAAAAGACATTGTACTGGCTACTGATGCATCAATAGACGGCATGGGGGCAGCAATAATGCATTGCTTTAAGGATGGATCTCTTCACCCAATAATGCATTTTGCTGCAACATTCAATGAAGCTGAGAAAAATTACTCTCAAATCGAAGAGGAAGCTCGTGCATTAATATTTGGTTTGAAACGATCTCACTTTTATATCGCAGGTCGACGTTTCTTCGCTCAAGTCGACCACAAGCCCTTGCTCGCTATCTTTGGATCAAAAAGTGGTATCCCAGTTTATACGGCTAACCGTCTACAACGCTGGGCGCTCATCGTTTTTAGCTTACGACATTAATTTTGAGTTCATCGGTACAAACAGTTTCGGATATGTTGATGTTGTATCCCGACTGATGTCTAAATACACCAAACCCGACGAAGATACTGTCATTGCACCTATTTCGTGTAGTAATGAAAATGTAGAAGATATATCTTGTTTTGCCATTCAATCAGCAAAACAGCTACCAATCACATTCAAAGATATTCAAGAAGCCACCAATGATTTGTATCGCAAGATAAATGGCCCAAGTTTTGCAAGCAAGTTAATGAAATTGAGGTAGCCGCTTTCTTTTCATATCGCTACCACTTGAAGGAAGCCCAAGGTTGTTTGTTCAGAGGCGAACAAATTATTATTACGTTCACACTGCGTAAGAAAATAATTGGAAGTCTTTATGAAGGTCATCCAGGAGTATGTTGTGTGAAGCTGTTGGCTGCCGACAAAGTGTTTTGGCCAAGAATGTCTAAAGATATTGAGCAGATCGTGAAATCGTGTGATAGCTCTGCACCCTTGGCCAATGCCAGTAGCACCAAAGAACGCAGTGTTACGATTATCCTTAAAACCTTGAGGGATTTCCCAAATATACTACGGCTCGTATCGCTGGATTGTTAAATAAATGCTCACGATGACCAAATTGTAGTACAATTAACTTTATTGTACAACAAACAATTAACAATATTCGCTAATACCGTAAAACACTTTACAATACTCGTTAAAGCAATTACAACGCTTTACAAAACTTGTTAACACAATTAAACTTATAGCTTGCTTATTCGCAACTCACTTTACTCGTAGCTTGCTGACTTGTAACTAACTCAACTCCGCTGTGGCGTGGCTCTTATATACCTGCGCTCGCACTCATGGCACCTCTCGAACGTTCTGAAGTTCATCGCTCATTCTCTTTCTCTCGCTGTTCGCAGTGTTCATAAAACTTGACGTTTCTCTTAGTGGAACATTCTACGTCATTCCTCGAACATTGTGCCTATTTCTCGTTGTTCGCTTTGTGTTGCCGCAGTATTCGCCACACTGCCCTCCACCTAAGTCTGATCGTCCCGATCAGACACACTTGCTGTTCCAAACGCTGCAAGCCTTTCCAAGTGGACCACCTTCATCTTGTTTCTTGGTCTCCCAACGGTCTGAATTCGATACACTACGTCATTCAGCCGTTTGACGACCTTATACGGACCTTCCCAGTTGCATTGTAGTTTTGGGGACAAACCTTTCTCCGTTGTGGATTGTACAGCAACACTAAGTCTCCCTCTTGGAAACCCTCGGAGTTCATTGCCTTATCATACCTGACCTTCATCTTGTCACTCATAATTTGAGTTCGCTGTCTCCCAAGAGCATGTATTTCTCTCAACTCCTATTCCAGGATGTTGGACGTCTCTTTACCAATCCTCCTTGCATCGCCAGTTACTCCAAACTTCTGGTCACTAGGCAAACGGAGCTCACTGCCGAAGATTACCCTTGCAGGAGTTTTACCCGTTGTTTCATGCACTGCTGACCGGTATCCCATCAGGAACAAGGGTATCGGACATCCCAATCTTTCTGATTTTTATCCACGACCTTCCGCAAATGCTCTTCCAGGGTTCGGTTGAACCGTTCCACCATGCCATCTGATTGGGGATGAAGAGCAGTTGTTCGAGTTTTCCGGATACCCAGTATCTGGCACATCTCTTGGAACACCGCCGATTCAAAATTTCTTCCCTGGTCAGAGTGCAGCTCTATAGGTACACCGTATCTCGCAACCCAATTGTAGGTGAATACCTCCGCTACTGTTTTAGCTTCCTGGTTTGGAATCGGGTATACCTCCGGCCATTTGCTAAAGTAGTCCATAACCACAAGGACATATTTGTTTCCCTGTGCGCTCATAGGAAATGGACCGGCTACATCCATGGCAATCCGCTCGAATGGTGAACCTCAGTTATACTGCTTCATCTGGCCATGACTTCTGGATTTCGGCCCTTTAGCTGCAATCAGGGACCGTAACGGTTATAACTTTTATTATAAAAATCACTTTTTAATCGTTATTAACTGAGTTTTATTTTTTGCTCAAAACATAACGATTCTTTTTTGAGTTTTATTTTTTGCTCAGAAAATAATCGTTACGTTTTGAGTTTAATTTTTTGCTCGGAAAATAATCGTTACTTTTTAAGTTTTATTTTTTGCTCGTAAAATAATGGTTACGTTTTAAGTTTTATTTTTTGCTCGGAAAATAATCGTTACGTTTTAAGTTTTATTTTTTCCTCGGAAAATAATGGCTACGTTTTAAGTTTAATTTTTTGCTCGGAAAATAATCGTTATTTCTTGAGTTTTATTTTTTGCTCAGAAAATAAAACTTAATTTTTGCGTATGTATGCGTATGCGTGTGCGTGAATAGATAGGGGCGGCTGCATTGAACTTTTAACGCCACTGCACAGTGGTACCGTAGTAGGTCATTCAAAAAAAATATTGATGTGTCATTTTGACACCATATCTTGTCTAATTACTAACAAACAACCACTCTAACTGGGAATAGAAAAAAAAATTAATTTTTTAACGCTAAAGCTCCGTTTCAACCGTCGAAAGTGAAGACTTTTCATAAGTGCTTATTATTTCTAAAACTACGCATTATTTTTAAGTGAATCGCGGAGAAGATTTTGATCAAAAATATTTAATTGTCAGAACTTTTTTGATATGGAGCTGAAAGCTGAAGGTATGTAGAATATTCCAAGTATTTGATTTTTTTCTTTTAAGTGTCTTAATAGTAGTTTAAATATAATTTTAAATAAGCGGCAGAAAGTATAAAAAAAATTGCCTTTTCTGAGTTTCAATATCAAAACCTTCCAACTGCGTTTAGCTGCCTCTGGGTAATGCATAAAGATTATACGACAACCCTCAATTTCAAAAAGGTTTTCAAGGTTTCACTTCTAATTGGCACTATTGACCATTTTTTTAAATTTATTTTAGGATCGAGTTATAAGTGTTCTTTTGCTCGAATCTTTATATTGGACAAATGGTTCTCCTATCAAAGCGTCAAAAACCAAGAAGAAAGGAAACGGAAAGTTTTTGAAGCCCTGACATAAGCTATGCCATCAGGCGAAAATGTAAATACTGACAGTTTGAAAATTTGCATTTTCTACCTTTGCCGAAGGTTTTTGAAATATTGGACGCAAGTTAACAGACCAAGATCCAGACTAATCGCCAAATACTGCGACTGGTTAAATGAAAAGAAAATTGCACTCTTTTTACATTTGCAAAAACTGGTAATGAAGATTTGCCCTCTACAAGCAAGCAATTGAATAGAAAACCATTTGCTGAATGCAGTAAGAGGTCTAAGCGCCGCAGATTAGCTCAACTATCAAAGGTCAATACTTCTGCCGTCACTGCGATAATTAATGATTCCGCCCAATCAAGCACCTCTTCTGTACAATTCAGCGCTGACGAAATGGTACTAATTACGGAGGCTAAATTGACAGAACACCAGTACTTGCTTGTAAAAGAGTTAATACACTCTAAATTTGCAAACGTTTTGCCCTCATATCAGAAAGTGCCAGAAGCGAAGAAACGATGTTATCCATTAGAGGAATGTGTTACAGAATGCTCTGCCGAAATTAATTTACAGTCTTTGTTAGACCACACTACTTCTCGAATTTTTGAATCCCAAAAGAACGTGAAAGATGGTGTTGTTGATGCAAATAATGATTTTGTTCTAATTGGTAAGTGGGGTTTTGATGGCAGTACCGGGCACATGGAATATAAACAAAAATTTTCGGATTCAAAAATTGAGGACAGCAGCTTATTTGTAACATCTTATGTTCCCCTTAAATTAATTTATAAATCTAGCATGTCAGATTCAGCTATTACTGTTTGGAAGAATCCCCGGCCATCTTCTACTAGGTTTTGTAGACCAATTCGGTTCAAATTTGCTAAAGAAACAAAAGAACTTTCTGTGCAAGAAGAAGCTTATTTTAAAGATAAAATTAATAAGTTACAACCGACTTCGTTACTTTTCCATAATCGCGAAGTAGTTATGGAGCATTATTTGCATCTATCAATGGTTGACAGAAAAATGAGTTCTGCTCTTAGCGATTTATCTACCAATAGATGTTACATTTGTGGAGCAACACCAAATGAGATGAACGACATTGAACGATCTATAAGCAAACCAGCAGACATCTCTAAATATCAGTCGCCACTTCAATTGTGGATTCGGTTTTTTGAATATTTTATCCACGTTTCTTATAAAATCAATTTAAAAAAATGGCAGCAGCAGTTTAGGGATCGTTGAGGTGTGGTTGTGGACAAGCCCCGAAGCGGTGGCAGCGGCACATCCAACGACGGCAATACCGCTCGAAAATTTTTCCGAAACTCTGCTATTTCAGCAGATATTACTGGAATAGATAAGGCTCTTATTGACAAGTGTTACCACATCCTGCAGTGCCTTTCGTCGGGTTATAAAATAGATACTAAAAAATTTAAAATTTATGCATTTGAAGTTGCGAAAAACCTAGTTGGGGCTATCCGTGGTATAATTTACCACCATCTGTTCATAAGGTTTTAATCCATGGGTCCGAGGTGATTGATTTCGCAATCTTGCCAATTGGTGAGCTCTCCGAAGAAGCTGCCGAATCATGCGATAATGCTAGTGAGGCAATTTCGACGTTTCAACACTAGAAAAAGTTCTCGTGTTTTCACCAATGCTGACCTTTTGCACAGATTACTTCTTAATTCTGATCCTTGCATATATAGCCTTCGAAAATTACCGCGAAAATCCGAGTCTGAGCTATCAAAAGAGGTATTAGATTTATTATGCACTTAAAACTATGTTACTTTTGTATGCATTGTTTGTATGATCTAGTAGTAATTTGACTTTACATAAATAAAAAAATTTAAAAAATCACATTTCTATGCACTTTTTCATCAAAGGGATTTTTTCCAAAACAACGAGACAAAAAACCGCGGATTCATCGCTCACAAAACCTCTATGACCGCCTTCCTTCGAGAGCGGTACCACTGTGCACTGTGGAGTGGGTAATGAAAATACAGAGAGCAAGATACAAGGGCAGAAACAAAAACAAGGGCAACGACAAAACCACAGACACTCACAACCTATATTGAAGGATCAAGCCAATGATAAAGATGAAGAACAGGACAAAGTTAAAGATAAATAAAAGACAAGGATAAAGACAATGATGAAGATGAATATGGGGATGAAGATGAAGATGAAAATAAAGATGAAGATGAAGATTTCTCGGAAATTCATCGTTATTTCTTGAGTTTTATTTTTTGCTCAGAAAATAA